ACCCCACCCCAGTGTCCTCCCCCGGCAGGGCAGGGGTTGAGTCCCATGGCCCTCCAAGTTCATTCCCCACCTCCTTCAGCTTCTCCCCTGTGGGAACAGGACAACCCCCTGAAACATCGTGTCTCCATGGTGCCTCCTCCACGCATGTTTCCGGGTACACCTTCCCTGTGTCCCGCTCTGCTACTCTACTCTGAGGGCCATGTCTGCATGGAGGTGGGCGTTCTATCACCAGGCCACAGCATTTCACGAAGTGTGTTAGGCTTGCATTTGAAATTGTGATGCTGCCCAAGCAGCGGGCTTCTTCACATGGGCTCTGCAGGCCTAGGCCTCTCCGGTGGTGGTATTGTGGCCCAGGAAGGCAATAAAGGGCCCTGGCCGTTAGGTACGGGGCTGTTTCCCTGGGTGTCTCTGTCTCCTTCCGCCTCCCAGCACAGTCACAAATTCAGCAGCAGCAGGTACAGCCTAGCTTTGGTCCCCTAAACACGCCGCTTCATTAAAACAGTGTTTGTGTGTGTTCACACAGATATGAAGTGACAGGCAGATTTGACCTCCATCAGATATCGGCTTATTGTCCCAAATGTCATCTATTCAGTCCATTAACAAACTTGGAAAAAAGTACATATTGTATTATTCAACAATCTATAAAATTTTTTATATATACTACATAACAGATAACCAGATGATACAATACATTCAGAAACTCTCCTTTTCACTATAATCACTTAGTACCATTCAACTTGATGGCTGTTCGACTGTCTAGAGCTAAGGTCACATACTGGAGATGAAATGCCTCTCCCACCTGCACACTCCTTGGGCCAGTACTGCCCAGCAGAAGAGATCAGAAGAGTGGTGCAGTGGTAGAGAGCTCCTTCTTAGAACAGAGAATTTGGTAACATTTCTTTTACCCTTAAATAAAGGATGTCCACTGAACTCTAACTTGATAGAAACAATTGGGCCCCAATTCAAGTTTTTACAATGTCATGCTTCCCAACAGATGGGCAGCAACCTTAGGCTATATCAGTATCTCCTAAAGTTCCCATTCCTCTGCCCTGGCCGGATGCTCATCCTAAAACAATAAGTGTAAGACATGGCAATATTCCCTCTTGTCATAAGCTTTTCCAATTATTGAAAATGAAGGAAGTCTCTCCAGAGGAGCGATCATTAAATATATAGTAAATAATGAGGTTAATTAATTTAACCCTTCTAATTAGGAAACTAATTGAATCAGAAAATTAAAATTGACACCAGACATTAAAATTAGGAAGTTCTGGATTTAGACCTAACAATTGTCTCGCTCCTTTCAACCGATTTCAAAAGGGGAATCTGTATTAGCTACAGAAATGTCTAGCTATTTCCAACCTAAAGAATTATCCATTGTATAAATATTTTTCAAGAGTTTGTCTCTCTTCTACTATATATGAAATAAAACCTTTTTTCCTTCTTAGATTTTTGCAAAAGAATGAATTAAAATAAGTCCAAAAAGATGGGTTTAACGCAAACTCTGCTAGTCACTGTGACCATGGGCAAATCACTTAAAATTCTCTGGGTCTCACTTTCCCATCCTCCGACTCCGCTTGAAAAGATATGCGATTCACTTCCATCGTCTTGGAGTTGGAATGGACTTACACAGAAGCAGCAGATCAGAGCTGGAGGTGTGAACACTTCTCAGGGAGAACAGCACCTTACACTGAACCAGCTGCGAGGCTGAACTAGTGACTGTGTAGAGCTTGGAATGCTGCAAATCCAGGATCAAGTCATCCTGGGCCACCTCTGGCCCAGTCAATAACCATTCACTGCTCTCCTCTGTAATGGGTCACTAAGAAAATCAAACACCCAGCTCCTATCGGACATGAACTCAGATCCAAGGACCTCACTGATGCCACATACAGACTACGTGGACAAAACGAAAGTAACTCTCCAAGGGAGCTTTTACTTTATTGAAAGGCTGTGTTGCCTCATTCAGATATCAAGCAAGCACACGGAACAGGAATTTGATAGGGATTTTTTTAATTTTTTGAGACAGAGTCTCCATGAGCCCCAGGCGGCTCTTCATTAACTCTTCTCGACCAAACCAGAGTGGACTAAGGCACCATGCTGAGTGACAGAGCATGGAGCAAGCTGCTCTGAGAGTTCCAGGCCAGTGAGAGACCATACCTTTGACCCCAGTACTAAGGAGGTGGAGACAGAGCCAGAGCTCTGTGAGTCTGAGGACAGCTTGGTCTAGGTAGTGAGTTCTAGTCCAGCTAGAGCTACAAACTGAGACTCTGTCTCAATCAATCAATCAATCAATCATGTGGAGGGTGCCTGAGGAATGGCACTGAGGCTGGCCTCTGGCTTCTGTATGGATGGGCACCTGTATCCATGAATACTGTACACATACAACATACACTCACACAAAAGTATGAAAGTGAATTTGCATACTTGTGGTGATTTGAATAAGAATATCCCCCATAACTCAAGTATTTGAGTACTTGGCCCCATGGGTGGTGCTGTTTCTGGTGGTTTAGAGGGTGTAGCCTTGCTGGAGGAAGCACGTCACTAGGGTGGGCTTTGAGCTAGCCTCGCCCCACATCCAGCTTGACTCTGCTTCCTGTGCCCACTTGAAGACCTGTAGTCTCAGCTTTCTGCTCTGGCTGCCTCCTGCTGTGTCTCCCCAGCCATGATGGGCTCTCACCCTGTGGAACCATAAGCCCAATAAACTACCTTCTGTAATTTGCATTGGTCATGGTGTTTTATCACAGCAACAGAAAAGTAAGATGATGCTAATGAGATGGACTGTGTTTATTTATTTTTACATAAAGAATTAAACCTCAGCTGAATATCCGATATTACAAGATGTTCAGGATCTTTTCCTTTTTCGGAATTGACTGGTACTTTGAGTTTACACAAATCAATACTGAGAACACTGCTTCATACAGATACCTCGTCCACACTGGCAGATGTGTGCATGCTACATGCTTGGGCTCCCAGGGACCAGAAGGAGGACACTGTCCTACCTTACCCTTCTCTACCTAGTCATTTGACACAGGGTCTCTCATGGACCTGGGACCAGGCCGGCAGCCTGCAAACCCCAGTAATCCTCCTGTCTCTTGCCTCCCATGGCGCTGGGGTGACAGGCATGCACACAGTAACTTCCGGCTTTTCTATGTGGGTATTGAGGACAGCCACTGAGTCTTTGGGGGCCATTTCTGAAACCGTTGGAAATTCCGTCCTAATCCCAAGCCCAAATTTATTTAATAATTTCGTGCATGAAGTTGTCAGTAGCTCAAACAGCAAATTTAAAAGGCAAATATTCTAACACAATACAACCCAAAGGTACACTAATTTGATATTTATATCCGGAGAAATGATGGTAGGAAAATAAGAAGTCTTTGTTTTCTGTAGTTAAACCATTGTTTTTGAAGGAGCAGTAAACTTTAAAGGCACAGTAAAAACACTGCAGTTCATAATGCACAATAGTCTTGAATCTGAGCTGAGCTGTTCAGGCAGCACTTGGCAACACATGGCATCCTGGCATGCTCGGTGCCGGTGTGCCCGGTGTGTGCTCAAAACCAAGGCCTCAGTGTAGGTATGTGGTGCAGGGCAGCACTGCCAGACACCTCAGATTCATGACACATTTGGTTTTGAATTGGTTTTTGGTCTTTGCATGTTCAGAGATCTTTTATTGTTGCCAAATTTCTCTGACCCCTCTATGGAGTTATAATGCAGTTTAAGAAGCTGGGCTGTAGGGGGTAACTCCAAACTAAGCTTGACAATACCTAACTGTAAGGGATGTGCAGCTCAACTCGGGATGAGACTATCATGTGCAACATTCACATGCACTTTAAAAATAGATGTTTTTATTCTAGGTGTATGTGTTTCATCTACATTGATATATGTGCACTTTGTGCATGCCTGGTGCTCATGAGGTCCAGAAGAGGGCAGGGCTTTGAATCCCCTGGAACTGGAATCACAGATGGTTGCTAGCCACCATGTAGGTGCTGAGAACAAAACCCAGGTCCTCTGCAAGAGCAACCAGTGCTCTTAACCACTGAGCTGTCTCTACAGCACTCTCCCCCAATGCATTTTTAGAAAGTCATTTGAGGGGCCAGTGAGATGGCTCATGGCTCAATGGGTAAGGATGCTTGCCAGTGCCTGGTGACCTGAGTTTGATCCCTGAAACCCACAGGGTGAAGGAGTGAACCAACTCCTGCAAGTCATCCTCTGACCCCCATTGGAGTTACCAATTGTTAGTTATCAGTCGTCATCTGGGAGCTGGGAATTGAACCTGGGTCGTCTGCAAGAGCAGTCAGTGCTTGTAACTGCTGAGCCATATCTCCAATCCTGCAAACAATAATGGTGGCTCATAACCACCTCTAACTCCAGTTCCAGGGGATCTGACACCCTCTTCTGGTCTCTGCAGGCACTGCAATCATCTGTGGACACACATACATCAGGCACTCATACAGACACATAAAATTTAAAAAACAACAACCACCAAACCACCACCACCATCAACAGTAAGAAAATACTGTCTTAAACAATCAAGTCAGGGGCCAATTCGTATTAAATGCCACCAGTGCTATCTTTATTCTTTTCTAGTTTCATACTACATTTTTTTGTCTAAGCTCAGTTTACCTAATTGCTCAAGAGAAAATAAAAAATGTATTATTACTATTTACCAAATTACTATGAGCAGAGGTGGGATGTGTAGTCTCTGAAAGTCATCACACAAAATGATCATGCTTTGAATTCACTTGAGGAAACCCTAAAAGCACTGACACTCAGAAAATCAATTTCAGGCATCTCATGACAGTCATAGAAAACACACAAAGCTTGGTTAATAACAAGACCTAAAGTGCGCCACCTTCTCAGTGCTGTTTGAATCAATAAAATTTCGGTTAATCTGTGAAAAAGCCCACAGAAGCCTCAGCTTGGTACTTGTCCCTGCAGGTGTGTGAACTGAGTATTACAGAAATGGGCATTATGTGACCATCATTTTCATGAGTTTCACTGTTTACCTTTAACAACCAAATTGCACAGAGGCTGCAGAGACGCTCAGGGTTAAAAGCCCTAGCTGCTCTTCCAATTTCCTGACTGCAGAGAGATGGGGAAGGCTCAGAAGGGTGGTTTCAGACCTAGCAGAGAGAAATGTAAAAAGACACAAAATAAAACAAAACCATGTAATAACATCACAATAAAGCACTCAGAAGGCAGAGGTGGGTGGATCTCTGTGAGTTCTAGGCCAGCCAGAGCTACAGTGTGACTCTGTCTTAAGAAAAAAAAATACATATGAATGTGTGTCAATTATTTTCTGTTCAATCACTCATCCACGCACAAATGCAAAGAACATCAAAGTTGTATTCGATCATGAATAGGAGACACGCTGATCCATGAGTCAACTTTCACCTACAGAAGGCCCACTACGTCCAATTTAAGGAAGCCGGAACTGCACGACTTACCCTGGTGATGGGTGTCGGCAATTTCTACAAAAATCCTGGAAGCGTTTCATGTTATCATTTTTATTTATTTACTTATTTATTTTTGGTCTTTTTGAGGCAGGATCTCCCTGTAGCCCCAGTTGGCCTGGAACTCACTATGTAACCAAGGCTGGCCTTGAACTCAGAGATCCGCCTGCCTCTGCCCCCAGTGCTGGGATTAAAGGCCTGCGCCATTACATCTGGTTTTACTTTGGTTTCTTGACCGTCTAAAGTTTATTTATTATTTTTATTTTATGTGTATGCGCGTGTTGCCTGCATGTATTTAAGTGCACCCATGTCCTGCAACGCCCGTGGAGGACAGAAGAGGCCCTCGGATCCCGTGGAAATGGAGTTAGGGACAGTTGTTAGCTGCCCTGTGGGCGCTGGGATTCGAACCCAGGTCTTCTGCAAGAACAACCAGTGTTTTTAACTGCTGAGCCATCTCTCCAGCCCCTTTACTTTTTCAATCTTTGAATAAACATTTATTTACTTATTGCGTGTGGGTGCACGCGCACGGAAGTCGGAGGACAACTTGAGGGCCTGGGGCTCGAACTCGGGTCGCCCGCTTGGCCGTGGGCCGTGCCGCAGGCCCCTGTCTGACTCTAACCAGCCCCACGGGCGCGGAAGGGGCGGACGAAGGACACCCACCAGCAGCGCGCGAGGCCGGCCTCCGGGCGCCCACACCTCGGCTCCTTGGCTCGTGCGGCTCCGGAACGCCCGAGACACCCGGCCGCGTCACCGGGATCC